CTGCCGAAGAATAGGAATTTTTCAAAAGGTTATGACTTTGCTTGTAACATCCGCTATCTGACAAATATACCGAATATACAATATGAACATGAAATTCAGATGGCTTTGCTTGTTTAATCATTTCTTCGTCCACCTATCGTATCTTTGTACATATAAAACGTGATCGACATGCTTTCCGTTTAATATCCACAAAGCTACTGCAATAATTCAAAAGCTGACATAATTTCGATTAGAGTCTTTGCAAATTTTTTAACACTTTCGTTAAGAGCTTTCAAATTAGATCAAATCTCCAGTGGCATAGATAATGTACCCATTATGATGGCACTGTCTGCAGTGATGGCGAAAAGGTAAAATGCTTTTCATGTAGATTTCTTCAAAAAAAACACCTCGTTCACCGGTCCTTCTTCCAAGATTCAGACCTCACACATATTGTCAATCTTTTTGAGATTTCAATTGGTGAAAATCTATCAAATAATAACAATCCATATAGTTCAGCAGTGTTTATGCCTTTTATCGAACTTTGCATTGAATGCCTACGCCAAAGGCAAAGCTTATTCGGGCATTCAACGTCTTAAAAAGCAGCCTCAATACTCTCATACCAGGAGGGTGTTAGCATGAAAATGTGAACCGTATATTATCAGTTGGATTTTCAATTAACTAACCGGATATAGCCAAGCATGTCGATTAGCTACTTGCTAACGTTTATATGGAGAAATGAAATCTACTGTTTACGCAAAATCCTATTTGCCTTTGTACAAGAGATAGTAAACATTACAGATTTTGTATTTTAAGTGATTAAATATTTGAAATTTCGCATATTAAATGATAGGCACTCAAAATTCGCCTCAAGGCGAGCATAAAGAACTTACGTTTGAAGCTACATCACAATTTTATGCAAATATCCATAGGGATTGGAGCTTTCATATTAGAAATGAAAAGCTTTTTACTTCTGGTTATTTGCTCATATTTTTTTGTTGTTGTTGTTGTTGTTTGCTATCCCGACATAACATTTCAAATTCAAAATGAATTAAGTAAAAAAGTAGAATGCGAGTGGAAGTGCGCAAGTTGCATTCATTTCCACAGAGAGTTCCTCTAGAAAGCAAAGAGTACGAAATGTACTCTTAGTGACTACAGGAAAGAGTATTATTATCATGTCAAAGTCAATAACGAAGTACACGATGATACTTCAAACTCAATTAACTTCTTCAATGATACAAAGGATGCGAAAGATTTAAAGCAACGGTTAGTTTTCAAAAGTTAGTCGTACAGTTTAAAACATAAACTAAAAAAAATTAAGAAAAAAAAATAAATAGGAAAAAATAAATTAATACAAAAAAAAAAAAAGAAAAAAAAAATTAATAATAAAATAAAATCTTTATGAATAAAAAAAAAAAAAAAAAAAAAATAAAATCCATTTAAATAAATTCGTAGCGTTAGAAAATCTAGAAAATTCTTGCCTACATTTTCATACGAAAAACAAGAGAAAAAAATAAAAAAAAACCACACAAAAATTATTAGCATAAAACCTATCAACAATGTTGCCTGTTAGGTTGTTTGAATATTTGAATATTTGCCAATTTTGAAACCTGTATGAAATCCCTTAGAGTACAATTAATAAGATCTGTTACAAGTGCACAAATGCACGCTTACTTCTCTGTGCAAAAAAAAAGTAATAATAATAATAATAATAAACAATTT